CCTCATGGTGAGTCTCAGAGCACAGCGCATGTTTGCAAAGCTCCCCAGTTCTAAGGCAAACCCTTCCCTGCCAATGGCCATGGCCCTGGCATTGGGCTGCCAGCTCTGACAACCTAGGCCTAGATAAGGAAATGAGGAGACTTGAGCAGAGGTTTGGATAAGCAAGACTTGATAGACAGTGTTCTGGTCCAATTAGGGGACCATTGCCTTTCCACACATTCCCTCCATGGAGACAAACTCCTCACCCCTGAATATGTTCTCTGCTTAACTCTTCCCCCTACAGGCTGGACCATCCAGAACGCATTTAAACACTGTGCCTAATGTCAAATTCAAAGTCTGCCTAGGAGTGGGGGGCCCAGTCAGAACTTCCTCACCTTGTCGATGAAGGAGGCGAACTTGTTGTTAAGGGTCTTGATCTGCTCCCGTTCTTGGGCCTTTACTTGCCCAATCTGAGGGTCGATCTCCACATTGAGGGGCTGCAGGAGGCTCTGGTTGACAGTCACTTCCTGGATTCCCCCAGGGAAGCCACCAGGGCCAAAGCCACCAGGGCCACCAAAGCCACCAGGGCCTCCAAAGCCACCAGGGCCTCCAAAGCCACCAGCTCCACCAAAACCACCAGCTCCACCAAAACCACCAGCTCCACCAAAACCACCAGCTCCACCAAAACCACCAGCTCCACCAAAGCCACCTCCCATTCCTCTGCCACCACCAAAGCCACCTCCATAGCCACCACCAAAGCCACCTCCATAGCTACCCCCAAAGCCACCTCCATAGCTGCCCCCAAAGCCACTGACACAGCTGCTACGTCCTCCACCAAAGCCACCAGCCCGGGAACCTGCCACACTAATGGAGATGCTCTTGTTGCCACCCAGGTTGTAGAGGCTGTGACTGCCAAAGCCACCTGCTCCACCCCGGATCCCACAGGCCCCTCCACTGGCTCCCCCAGAGCGAGCCACAGAGCTCATTCTGCTGCTGCCGGAGACCACAGCGGAGCGCCCAGAGAAGCCCCGGCTCCCACCACCAGATGTCTTGGAGACTTGTCTGTTCATGGTGAGGAGCTTAGTGGAGAGAAAAGTGTCAGAGTTAAACAGAGACACTGAAAGTCACAGCAAGAAGGAAGGGAACTGAAGATTGGTGCAGAGTAAATCCCTTTATATACATTTGAGGAGGTTGTAGAGCTCAAACCAAGGAGAGATAATTAACCCCAGATATTCATGGGTTGGGTTTGCCTCCAAGCAATAAGTTTGTTCCAGGCTACCAAACACACCTTGAAAATCATCTGAAATGGTAAAAGTGCTAAGGTGGCAGGCTTACTTGGCAGGAGGTGGTGCCTGGCATTGTCCCATGCTTGGGCACAGCCACCTCGTAGCTCTTTCTGACAGGTAAGGAAACATGACGACCTGAGTCAGATGCTCAGCGGTCACCTGTCTGCCCCTCTGCTGTCTCTCGGCTCTACTGCAGCTGGACTGAGCTCCAGAAAGAACAGGGTGCAAGGGGAATGGGGGAGATTCAGCTTCTCTGAGTGGAGGACAAGGAAGCACCCCCACAATTCTGGGAACGTGTCCCAGTAGAACAGAACAGGTGATACACTTCATTCTTGCAGTCAGTGCATGGTTACTGCGTACCCACTGTGTGACTCTGTGCTGGGCTTGGGAATGAAGTGATGACCTCTCTTTAACCAATCCTGGGGAAAAAACTCAGAACAAATCTTTCTCCCTGGTTCTCCCTCTACCCCGCATGTTAGTACAGTCTAGTTTAGTGAAGTTAATACCTACGCACATTGATCAAACATTGCAACAACCAACATGCTACGTGTTTGTTTTCAAAACTTCCCAAATGAAATATACATTATCACACATCTCAGGCATCTCTGAGACTTCCTTCTTGCTCTCCTCATTTTGGCATTTCTCTGGTTTTAGGCCAAGCCCAGGCAATGGGGAATTCAAATATCAATTCAACGACAAATTCAGGAAATATTTACAGATTGCCTGACTCATGCCAAGTACTATGGAGGGCACTGGAGACCCAGTCACAAGTGAGAGACAGGGCCTGCGGGACTTTTTCCCGTTTGAGTAGGTGTGCTCCTGAGAGCCCCAGGAGACCAGACCTGCAGCGCCAGCAGCACCACTTAACTCCGAAAGCCTGAGAATCTGTCAGCCAGGTGTTTTTCAGAGGCTTAGGCACTGGGTTTGGTTTCTCCAAGAGTAGTGCCGCCCTGTGCAGCTCTGGAGCCTGCCAAGTTAGCTGCTTATCTCTCCAGGACAGGTCCTTTTTCGTTCCGTCTGCTGCAGGTTAGGCCCTGCCAGGGGTGTGGGCTGTGTGGCCTTGGCAGAGCCTCTCCAGGACTGAGGGAAAGGCAGGAAGGATAGGGATTTCTCCCCTGGACACGGAGCAGTACAAAGGAAGTGACATTTTCTTCACTAGCTTGGTTCTCCCATTTTATCCCTCTCTCTTTCATAGATTACCCCCAGGCTAGGCAACATCCTAGTCCCTTCGCAGGATAAAACCATGAAGTTCCAGGAGCTTATGGTCTTTGTAATTTACTGAATCCCTTGACTCTTAGCACAGTGCTTTGCCTATAATATAATAGATGCTCATAAAGATTGGTTGAATGAATAAAGCAATCAGTTTTTTAAGCTTATTCATTTATTACATGAGTAAGAGAGACAGACAGACAGACAGACACAGCATCCATAACAGGGTCCTACAGTGTGAGCCACACCCTCAGCTTCAGCCAGTCTGGATCATGGGTGAACATATGACTGGCATGCTCAGGGAGGTCTCCAGACTTGAACCAGCAACTTTCTCATATGTGTCTATCTCACAGATTGTCATGTTTTACTGCTGCACCACCATCCAGTCCCTCAAGCAATCAATTACTAATGAATTAATTAAATATTTGTACTGGATTACAAGATAAAACTGGAAAGCTGTCTCTTTTTTTAATTTAATTTTATTTTTATTTACTTTTTTTTTTTTAATTTTTGCTATAGGGTGTGTGCACTCGCTAGAAGGACAGAGAGTCCAAAAGTGATAAATCACCCCCTCAGTGGGGACGGCCATGCCACAATCCCTTCTCCTCCATCCTCCCCCCAAGATTTCGGCCACACATGCACACATGCCCTGCATGAGTTTTAAGTTGCTGGGTCCAGGACTCAAACCATGGTCAACTACATAGGAGTCCAGCAACGTAACCATTACACCATCTGCTGGTCCCAAAACTGGAAAACTGGCTCAACTCCCATTACATAATGTAGTCCAAGCTAACTGAGATCGTCTTAACATGAGGAATGCAAACTTCTTAAATGTAGTACTCAGATTTAGGAAAAAAAAAACATATGCAAAATCAGAGTCTCTTCTTCTCAGAGGGAAAAAATGTAAAATCACAGATTCAGTAACTAATAAATCAAGAATTAATCAATGAATTACAAACTCAAGTTGAAGTCGACTGGCATTCAAAGTCATATAATCTGCCCTTGTATGTTGCTGGGATCCCGTCTTCAGCATGTCTGGGTGTGCCCTGGTTACCCACAACTGCTGCCCAAGGCTTAATAGAATGTGCTGTAAGTCCAGGCTCAGGGCATGACCACACACAGACCCCTTCTCATTACTCCCTCAGAGGAATCAGAGTTTGAAGGTCTAGACCAGAACCTCCCCATGACTAACCATGACCAGGGCTCTTTAAATTCTCTGTGTCTGCATCATTAATCATTAAAGATGATCAAACATCTCTGCCTCTCTGGATCTCACATTCTAGATGAATGAAATCTTGGCCAATGTTTCAAGACACATATCACAAAAATAAGGCCATATTTTTATTTTAATATTTAAGAGAACAGGAGGGAGAGGCTGCCACTGTGACAGAAATGAGGCTGCTGCATGGCCAGGTGTGGGGCCTAAAGTCCAGGGCACTGCTCTTAAATTTTTTTTTGTTTGCTTTGTTTTTGTTCCTTTGTTGTTGTTGTTAGGTTTTTGTTTTGTTTTGTTTTTTTCTTCCATGAGTGAAAGAGACAGAGATAGAGCATCCCCAACAGGGTCTTGATGCCACAATCTACCCTCAGCTTCGGCCAGCCCCAAATCATGAACGTGTGTATCTGCAGTACTCAGGGAGGTCTCAGAGCCTGGAATCCTCCCACATGGTCAGGCTCACAGAGCACCACTTCTTACCGCAGCGTCACCAGCCAGCCCTTCTAGGACTTCTTAAACCCACAGTGAATCAGGGAACCTTAGTGTCCCTGCAGGGGGATCCTAGCCATTGCGAGAACCCACTGGTTCTAAACCATGCCTACTGTTCCTTTAGCGGGAATTAACTTGGAGAAGAGTCTTCGAGAAGCAAAGTCACGACCACTGCTGTCATCAGTCAGCTCTAGGCCCGGGACCTCCCCAGCAGATTATGAAAGAAGTATGAAGAAGGGCACAGGCTGTACTTATTCTGGGGATCAAGACAGCAGAGAAGACATGGCCTGGTCCTGGGGGCGGGGGGAAAGCAGAATGTAAAACAGAGACCAGAGAGTACTGGCATAACTAGAATGTCAGTTCTGATCAGAGTCATGAATGACAAGCTAGAAGGGGAGGAGGCCACCGGTGAGTTGAATTCTTGATGGTTGGGTCCAGCCTTCTGAACTTGAGACCTGATAAATATTTTGAAAAAAAATATAAAAAGTTGGCTTACAATCACCCAACACCTGGATTTTCTGAAGTGTGTTAATTAACATACTACATACTTTCTCCTTGGAGAAAAGAGTGAGTCACTGGATTATGATGTATAAAATCAGAGACTCAGAGAGTTCTGCAGCCAGGAGGCTCTCCAGTCCACTCTCTACCTCGAGGCAGACACTCACCTGGCCCCTTCTCCTCTTCAAGATGCCCACGGAAGGTGATTCATCAGATCTGGCTTGCCTAGGCCAGCAAGACACCACCCTGACCCAAGGAAGGTCTTTGAAGATCTAACTTCAGTGCCTTCTGCTCCATCAAGTGCAAGCTGCGCTCCTCTCCAGGGAATCAGTGAATTGAGGTTGTCAGGGGCCTCACCCACCCACCATTGCATGGTGCCCATCCCTCTCTGGACCTGAAGGCCTGTATTAACACACAGAAAACATTGTATTGACCTCCACACATATCAGAATTTGCACTTTCAGAATCCTTTGAGAACACATCTTTCTACTGTGAATTCTGCAAGTCTTTTAAATAAAATTGCATTTTATAATCACAGCCATTTGGAAATGGCAATACAGATACATGAAAGGATTTGCTATTCATTTGATCTACAGAATCAGAGTGCATATGGAGCCTCAGAACCCCCACAGTCACACAACAGCAACCCTACCTGGGGCCTTCAGTCTTCAGTCTCAGACTCCCACCAACCGACCTCTTCTACTGTTGACAGTACAGTCCATGAAAGAGGGCTCCTGTCCCTACTGGAGATTCCCCATTGGACCATGAGGCCTGAGTGCTGTCACCCCGTCTTCCTTGCCTTTGTGTCCATCAGCTTCTGGCCTTTGCAGACCCTCAGTGGATATGAACAGACTGAAAAATCTGCCTTTGTCTGGTCTTCCAGGATAACACACACAAACATCCCTGGCTTTTGTATGATAACTCTTCCAGTATTATTGTAGAAAATCCTATTGAGGGGTCAGCAAGTGACATGGTGTCAAGGCACTGAAGTCCTAACCATGGTTTGAGTCCCAGACCTGGCAGCTTGCTTTCTCACTTTCTCTCTCTCCCTCTTTCTCTGGTCAGCTTAAAAAATAACAATAATAGGGACCAACATATGGCATAATGGTTACATCACTGGACTCCCACATAGTCAAACATAGTTCAAGTCCCAGACCCTGTGACTTAAAACTTACACCAGGCACGTGAGCATGTGTGCCCAAAATACTGAGAGAAGAAGGGATTGTGGCATGGCCATCCTCCCTGGGTGGTCATTTCTCACTTTCTGTCTTTCTGTCTCTCTCTGTTTCTCCAGTGAGTACATGTACCCTATAGCAAAAATCTCTCTTAAAAATAGAATAATAATAATTAAATTAAATTAAATAATTATTTAAAA